GCAGGAAGGGGAAAATGATACACTTTATCAGTTCCCTTTTTCATAGTCTATTGATCTATAGGGCCAGGTGCTCAGCTGGAACAAACTGAACTAGTTGCAGTGATTTCAAGGATGTTATGCTTATTTCCAGTAGCAGAGGATTTGCCCCACAGTCTTTATCATAGTATTCACTGAAGAAATAAAGGACTATTCTTTGATGTAAACATGTTTAAATGAGCTTTAATTTTGAGAGAGAGAGAGAAAGAAATACAGTAACAGGAATAAACATAAATATTTCGTAAGATTTTATTTTAGAATGTACAGAAACTCATCTAAGCACTTTTTGCCTTCTGGGTGAACTGCTGACCATTTAATTACACAGCAAATACCAAACAGAGGCTAGAAAATACCATATATTACCAGAAGTTATCTACATGGATTTTTCTATCTTTTATATCAGAGGAACACTTAATGTGGTAATTGCTTCTATACAGTGTTTCTTTTGTAAACTTTAAAGTGCTTTATCAGCCTATACAAAATGGAGATACAGGTTAGAATTTTCTTACATTAATTAGAAAAGCAACATGTTATGGACTCGATTAAAAAAAATAATTTCATTGAAAAATGTTATTTTCCTTAAAAAAAGACTTCAAGAGTTTTCTCTATTTGCTTAAAAGCACTTCACAGATGAAATAATGATGACTTACATTTTCTATAGCTCTTTTCATCCTGAAGGATTTCAAAGTGCTTTACAAAAAAATGACTTGTCGCTTAAGTCTGAAGTGTTGCTAATTGCAAAATTGAAACTAGAAATACCTGTTAAATGTGGATGTAAATACACTCTATGCTAGTTCTGACAGGATTGAAATGCACATGCGGATATTCACAGGGAATTTACAGAAAGAATTGCAGTCCTTTTTGGATCTACTTCACTAGCAATAACAACATGAAGACACATCAAACCTTTCCAACTGTTTACAGTCTTTGCTTTCCACCTGTTTTTCTGGTAAAATCTTGTATGTGAGAAGGTGAAAGCTTGGGTTATTTAAGTGAGCACTGAAAGAATTCTTTTCCATTTAACTGCTAGTCTCCAGCTGACCCCATAAATGGTAATTTTCTGATGAGAAGGCCATGATGTAAACTGATGCATGAAGAACAGTTGTAATATAACCTGTACAGGAAACTACCCTTTGAAACATTTTTTTAGCTTAACAGTATTACAAAGTCTCCTCAAGCATATTAGATATCCTATATTAGAAGATCACCTCCATTTAGCAAGCTATACCTGTCTTTCTATTTGAGCTTTTGCTTCCAACCTGTCTTATGCTACTAAAACTAGCCAGAGCAAAAATTATGGCTGTCTGACCTCACTAGTGTACAACACTGGTATTTTAGACATATGTGTAGATATATATTTTTTTTTCTCATAAGCAAATACGTTTTATACAATGAAGCACTGTAACCCTCATGTTTTCTGACTCTGCTTGCTATTAGTTTTCATGCTTCTATAACACAGAATGCAGAGTTGCCAAAAAGGCAAATCATTTTGATGGATCTTAAAAGCAGGCACTTTTCTTGTGGGGGGAAAGAGGGTCTCCTACACAGTCCTAGAGCAAACTGTACAGACATATTCTGGCACTGGTTTGTAACTGCCTTGAAGGCCATGCAGCAGGAGACCCTGTCACGGCTGTGGTGTAGTTTCAGCTTCCAGAAGTTCCAACTGAAAGGAAAGAAATTGCAGATACAATGAGCAATACACTGATTTCCCCTCCCATGTGTTTCTGAAAATCTTTTGGGGTGATTTTACCTAGCATTTGCTGCAATTATTCCACTGCACAAAGCTGAACAGATAGCTTTTGTGAGAAAGCAAGCATGTTTACTTTTACATCATAAAACATCATAAGGCAGAAAAAATTGGCATGGAAAAGGTACTCGCAGCTTTAGGAATATATGACAACATTTTAAAAGTAAAAAGCATGCATTCCTAATTGATCTGATTCTGATTTCAAAAGAAGAGGAGTTCTTCCATTTGAATTCAATTCCATTTCTACTCAAGTGGGTCAGAGCTTCACTTGGTATGAACTGATCTAGAGCCATTGAATTCAGTTGTTCTCTACCCTTTTACACAAGCTAAATATTTGGCCCAAAATATTGTTTTAAACAGAAGATAATATATTTTCTCCATGTCATAGCTATGCTACCACATCTACACTAGAATACATAACATACCACACATAATGGTTGCTTTGTGTTCATGGTGCAAATCCTAGGTACATTTTATTACAGAATGATTCCAGTACAGAATGATTTCAGTCCTCCTCTACCTTTTATGCAGCCATCACTGAAACATTACTATTACATATGATGTAGGGGTATCTGTTCCTAAGACTTTTTGCTTCTTATTGTATCAGAAAAGTGTGTGTCCACAGTAGGACTTGAAACTTTTCAAATTCCTATTTAATTGTCTGACAATTCAGCTTGAAATTGAAGACAGGAATTAAATTACACCCAATTAAACTTCCTATGCTGCATGCACATGACACATATATTTTCTTCTTATTAAATCCCCCCTGAGTAGAAGTACTGTACATACATTTTAAACAGTAAATCATGGCAATTTTTTCCCCACTTGAAAACCACTGAACTTTTCCTGCCCCCTGACAATAGGCTGTATTATTCATTGTTATAGTAAGTTGGAATCCAGAAGAAATGCTTGAAATGGAAAGTTTTGTGACTCAGAAAGTAGGGAGCCAGATTAGGTTAAAACTACTCGTTAAACTAGATTGAAATGAGCAGAAAAATTCCCTCTGCATCAACCATGAAACATGGGCAGCCTTGGGGCAATGCTACTTATGTAAATTGAAGACAGAAGGCAAAGCATTGCTTTCCTGCTAACAGGGAAGATTTTACTATAAACTCTGGTTTAGAAAAAGATTTCATCTGAGGTAAAAGCAGAACTCAAAATCATGTTCAGCTGCATCATAATTTTGCAGGTTGTATTTAGTACTTTTTTGCAATCTGTGGGGGAAATGTATTTCTGTTCAAAATTAGTCTGAACCATAATCCTCAGATTTAAACATCCTTTTGCTTTAGGGAACAATAGATCCAAAATAATTTTTCTGGTTCAGGCTCATCCCTAATTTTCATGGATTAGATGAACAGGAGAGGTTTCCACTTTTTCATACACCAGTGAACAAGTACTGTATGTTTCCTGCTTCGTGTTTATCTTGTGTCACAATTAAGAAAACCAGCTGTAGCAGTTTTGTGCATTTCTGTAAAACAGCTACTCAGGTCCAGTCCTCCTTGTTTAATTTAATATTGATTTCATTTTCCCCTAATTTATAAAGGATTCTGATGTGTACAACACTCCTATATATAATAGCTATGGAATATATCTCAGTTTCAAGGAGCTGTTGAATTTAGCATTAAAGATATAGTCACAAAAATGTCACTGGTCTGACAAAAACGTTTTTTAAGCATCTATTCTGTTAGATAAGCAATGCTCCATTGTTCTTGAAGTACATTTCTGTTTATAGTGTAAACATGTCCATTTGCCTTTACAGTAGGGCCAAGTTATCCCTCTAGATGCATTTCATTCCCCTATCCTGATTTATAATACTACATTTATAAATGTAATATTAAGCAGTTGTTTCACAATGGTACAAAGTAATATAGGAGGAGGGAAATGACAGAGGCTTGTCTGGCTTATAAAAGCTGGAAATGATGCAATGGCATGCAGACTCTTGGGGTGCCTCTACATGTTCAATTAGTGCACATGAATAAACTCCGGAGTTTATTGTTCTGGAGGTTTTTGCTTCTGGGTGTGCTGTTTGAATGTGTACCTGGGAGCAAATAACTTCAGAGCAATTAGTTCCAGAGTTTATTCATGCATAGTTGTGGAGCCTGGTCAGAGCAGCCCCAGTGGGCAGGGGTCCTTGTAGGTCAGCCTGCCAGCCCAGCTCAATGTGCTGCAGAAGGGATGGCTGGGGCATGAGGGTGCTTCAGCATGGGGATAGCCAGTAAGTATGCAGCCCTGGCACTCAAGCACCAGTGGTGGCTTTATGGTTGTTGGGGCCCTGGGCAAGACAGTCACTTGGGGCCCCTTAGAGGTATGTACTCAGGTAAATATTAACCCACCACAGTTGTATTATGGATCTTTTTAATATTCTTTGGGAGAATTAAATAAATAGTCAAGTATTAAAATGCAAATAGAGCTACTTCCTTGCAAAAAATTTACCCCCCAAAAGATTTGGGCCCCATCAAGTGTGGGGCTCTGGGCAGTTGCCCAGTTTGCCCTCCCCTAAAGCCGCTACTGCAAGCATCCTCCTGCCCCAGCAAAATGATCAGCATCTACACATGCATTGCTATGCACAAAAAAGCCGCACTCTGTGCAATACAAGTACTCCCCTGCTATGGAGATTATTAGTTTTATGTACCCTAATAGGGGCACATGTGTAGATGCTGAGATGTTTACTGAACAGTTAATTAGTCAACTATGTAGTAAATGTCTCATGTAGATATGCCCTGGGAGTGGAAGCATCATACTCCATGTTTTAGTGACTGAAGTATGGAATTATAGGCTTTGAGGTAACCTTATTAAAATCTCTTTGGTGTAAAATGAAGCTTGCTATATATTAGTTTCCTTGAGAGTAACAATGCATGGAATAGAACAAGTGCACTTTCACAGTTATGTGTAGGTAATGAGGGAATTAAAATAAAAGGAGAATGGTGAAATCCTAGAAAACTCCATTTGTAAAATGAGACTGCTCACCTTTAAAATACTCTGGAGGCACATCTACCTGAGATGTTTGCTGTGGTATTGATTAATTAGCTCCACAGTAAAGTCTCAGCCGTATTTGGCTACAGTAAACTAATTAATTCTGCTTTAGGTTAGTGCTTATAGACACAAGTACTATCCTATAGTGGCATTCTTTAGGGTGTAGCAACACACATGTAGATGCTGACAGGACTGGCTGGGGCATGAGGGTGCTTCAGTGTGGGTGCTGCCTGCTAGCTAGCCTGGCACTGGAGCACCCTTGTGCTCTAGCCAGCCTCTCTGCAGAAAGTTGAGATGGGTCGGAGCAGCTCCAGACTGACCCCTTAGGTCCCCTGGGCCCCCTGGCAACTGGGGCTGTTCTGACCTGGCTCGACATGCTGCAGTCCCAGACACATGTATAAATGTGGTGCTGGGGAGAAATAAACCCTGGCACAATATGCACTGGAGTTCATTGCATCACATTGATTGCACCTTGGAATTTTCTGATCTAGTGCAGGTATGGATTACAAACAGAGAACTAGGCACTCGACTGGTCTAAATGACAAACCTTTTCTTGAAGCCAATAGAGACAGGCCTATTTTCAGATAAAATTATAACTTAAATATTTTACAACAGCTTTTTCTCCAGGTGTGTGGACACTATCTGCATAAGCCTGTTTTCTAGGTTAAAACCTGATTGAATATATTTCCACTGTTACAGAAAAAAAAGAATTACTGGTCTTTTTTTTTTTTTTGCTATTGCTATATATCTTAATATAAAAAAGCTGTTAATGAACAATGTTTTAATAATAGTGATTTCAGGATCCAGCAAACTACAATTCATTTTGATAAATTCATTTTGACTTAATTCATCAAAGTTTGTAAACCATCCTTATCACTCTGATATCAGAACAGCTAAGTTATTGGTCTTAAGTGATAGACAGGAACCTTTTCAGAAGACTTCGCTCAGTTTTCATTTTTATGCTTTTGGCTTTAATTGCCTTGTATTTGATTATCAGAAGTTCTAAATGTCCACAGTGGAAGCCGTAGGTCCTCATGACACTCTGAAATTCAAACCTATGGTATCTCAAGAGCAGCACCCAAAAATGTGGTATCCAAAATTTTGGGTGTTATGATTGAAACTTTCAAACTTTAAACCTTTAAAGCTTTATTGTTAGCCAAATGTTCTACCTGTAAAATGCACTTAAAGAAGACAGAAGAACATGATCTTTGTTGCAAGTCAAAATGGGTAAACTCTGAAAATAGCTAGCTCCAACTGGATGAAACTGCTGACAGGATCTATTTTCTTGCACTTTAGCTTCCTTGATATTGTGTGATATATTGAAAATGTACATCAAGGATGCTGCAAATCTTATGCACAATAAATGGCATGATATATAAAACATATATAAAAGAAAATCTATGACGTCTACATTTGAGTAGTTCAATTGCTGGACAAAATCAGATTTGGTCAAAATGATAAGTCTAAACAGTTTACTAGAGATGGAAAGAAGACTGGAAATAAGAATAGTTCAAAATAAAAGTAACAGACTATGACCATGACTGGTTATGACAGTGAAGAACAAATATATTTCTTCTATCGTGTGTTCTTGGCAAAAACTCCCACTTCATGTAATGACACTGTCATTTAGTGATCAGGCCCACAGTGACCCTGCTATTTCCCTTGATTTCATAAGCCTTGTAATTCTATACTTATTTTTGGCTAAAAGCATTTCTTCTTTCTTTTTCAGGTTTTATAAATACTAGGAAAGTGCTATTCAAACTTTAAATTGAAATCAATGCTAATTTTGGCCTGGGGAACTCAATTCTAAAATCCCATAATCATCAAATAAACCATAACCCTTATATATATGAGCGTTAATGGTAATATCAAAAACCCAAAGTGCCCACCTAGCATATTATAAACTATAATACTCATCTTGTGTAAGGTGTTGTTTTCTTTTTTGCTTTCACATTAACAGGAAATATAATTGCCATTGCATGCACTGAATGGTTGTGTAAAATGTTTCAGCTACTTTGGATAGGCCCAGGCCTGTTGAGGTGCTGAGTGGTTTTGATTTTCATTGATATTAGTGGGCAATGCGAAGACTTGGTCAATATTTTCCAAGGACTTTCTCTAAATTGTGAAAATGTATTTGGCTTAATGGCCTATATATATTGGTACTCTTGAACATAAGCTAGTGATATTGTTTTCTTTTCAGATTGCAGTTGGGTCAACAGTCAAAATGCATGGCTGGAAAAAAGCATAATGTACAATAGCGGAAGCAGCCAATTCAGAAACTGCGGCACAGTGGGGAATTGATAAAATGGAAACCATTCAAGGTTACTTCTTCCTCCAGCACCTTCCAGACTTAAAATTGTTCAGGTGAGATCCTGCCAGCATTCCAGAGGCACTAAGACCAAGATGGTGCCTTCTTAAGGTTAGCATATGTCCTTGTAGACGACCATATAGAGGAACCAACCAGAAAGTCCAGCTAGTAAAAACAGCTGCAGAAGCAGACAAAGAAAACCTCTAGATGTTCAAAGAACTGTCTCCAGTTCTGACTGGACCTTCTATGCTCATGGTGACTGGCTGTTTGCTACAACCCTCTCCCTACACTACTTCACCATCTCAACTTCCATTCCACATCTGACTTCCCTGTCCCCAGTTCCCTTCCTTTCTATTTCCTCTCTCTATTCACTTCTGTTTCCCTTTAGCTTATCTTCTCATAACTAGATCTAGAATCCCATCTCCCCCCATCCTCAAATGGATGGAACTAACACAATGTTTTCTGCCACCATGTAGTTCACTCCGCTTCTTTCTTCCACCACTCCCTCATTCTCATCTGTTTAATTTTTTAGATCTTTAGGGCAGGAACCATTTGCTACTCTGTAAACTGATTAGCCCAGTCTGTGGGCCTAATTTAACCCTGCGTTCTGGGCCTGCATGCCTGGATTGGTTCCAGGCATCCTTGGTTGGCCCCCAAAAGTTGGAATCAGGGCCCATTTGGCCCCATGCACTGGGATTGGACCCCATGCACCCAATTTAGTGTGCAGGGCCATGGCCCATGGGGCTCTCCATGGACCCCTGGGAAGCCCCATGGGTTGGATGACATGGGGCTTCCATGGGTTGGGAGCTGAATTTGGCCCATGGACTGAGGGTTGAGCACCCTTGCCTTAATCCAATGTACCTCTATTCTTGCTTGGCTATAGGTCCTGTTGTAATAAGTATACCTAATAGTAAAAATGGTATCTAAAGATGGGCATGACACAGGCATTTAGAAAGATTTTTTTGGGTTAAAAATAAGTTTGAGCATCTCCAAGTAGAGAAGCTGCTTATGCATCCTGCACTGTGACAGCTGGCATTGCACTGGATACCAGTCCTGAAGGACAATCATGCCTTCAGATATATGCAAAAAACTACTACTGATTTCACTGAGAGTTATAAAAACGTAAGTCAAGGCAGAACCTGTCCAATACACATTAACTACACAAAGTAAATACATAGATAAAGAGAGGATGCTCTTGGCAGTTCTATTGGAGAGGTGTATATCAGAATTGCTCACATTCTGTTCCATTTCACAGGCCAGAATTTAGTAGGTAGGTGTCAGTGTCTGGTGAAGGAAAATGCTGAGGATAGATATACAATAATCCCTTCCTCATCTTCTCTAGCACTGTTCCTTCTTTCTTTTTCCTCTCTTCTGATATCACTACCATTTTTTATGCCTGGCAAGCTGATCCCTGGGCACCCTGCCAGCTGAGTCTACTCCAGTGCTGCAGTCCTGGGAGCATGTGTAAATGCAGTGCCTGAGAGCAATAAACTCCAGTGTGATATGCACCAGAGTATATTGCTTTGTTTTAATTGCATACACACACTGAATGTAAGTGGAACTGCTTCTTTCAGCCAGCCAATTTAATTCAGTATCTCCACAGGATAACTAATTTTGTGGTTGAAATGGCATCTGAGAGAGATTTATACAAGGCTCACTTGGGGTGCTGACAGAAGTGATGGTTTTTCATGCAATCACCCACTGAAAGCACTCTACAGCCATGCACTGACAGAACTGTACAGCAGCAGAGAGCTTTAATAAGTGCCTAATCTCATACAAATGAACCCTTATTACATGAGGGTTCATATGAAGGTGCTCCAAAGCAGAGCACCTTCATTAACTTCTGTTAGTGTGTGCCAGGGAGCAGGGCAGGGCTGATGCAACTCAGTCCCATCCCTAGTACTGTCTTTGGGATGGAAGTGGGGGAAGGGAGGAGAAGGAGTTCTGTCTGGGGTTTGCCCAGCCTGTGCTGGAGGGTGGGGGCAGGTGGACTGAAGCCCCCCACAACAAGACTGGGCCTCCAATCCTTATGGGGGGGGCTCCAATCCACCTGCCCCCCCCACCTCCACCAAAGGCTGGACAAACACCACAATGGACCTCTCTTCCCTAGTTTCTCCCCCTCCCATCCTGAGACAGCACCACAGCTGGGAGAGGGCAAGGCAGGGCTATGGGAACAGGCCACAGACACGCAACCTCTCTTGCTGGATCAGCTCCAAAGTGAGGCTCGATGGTCCATCCAACAGCGAATGTTTGTTGGGTTGGGAGGGTTGGTCTAACTCATGGCGCTTTCTGTGAAGAGAACCCTTGAAAGAGTTGGTGAGGCTTAGTGAACTTTCTTTTACAGAGCAGCTGATAATAAACAGCTTGAATAAAAGTCTCTTCCTTAGGGTGCCTGCAATGTCATAAATCTTTGGACTTTTTAGTGCATTGACTGCAAAGAAAAGCTGTTCTCTAAATATATTTGCAATTTAAAGCCCTCCCTAATATGGATACAATCATGTTGTCACGAAGGACTTTATACTGGTATGGATTAAGAAAGGAACCAATGCCAATTTATGGTGCATTTATAGGCATATGATAGGGGTTCTTACATAACTATATTGGTAAAAAAGTGCCAAAATAGCAAAAAGTGCATGTGAACAAGCCCTGGTTTTCTACAGGATCTTTTAGGACAAACATGCCCTTCAAGCCTTCTTTGTATAACATAAAGAAGCAGAAAAGGGTGCAAACTCAATCCCTCCCTCCTTCCCCCACAACCCACCTGCCTGTCACTTTTAAAATGGGAGGAAGATGGGGTATATTTCTGAGCCCACCCTTGTCTCCTGCTGTGTACTAATGGAGTCCATAACAGTCTATCATTCATCAGTCAGTTCTAGAAAGTTCAACAATTGCAAACATTGCATCAGTAAGAATCATACTTTGTCTCTCTTTCTCTGACATGCTGTCTGTATGCACACACATTGGGCCTGATCCCACAAAGTACTTCTGAGAACCCCTTTGTTCAGAGACTTCAAAGAGAATTGAGAGTGCTTGGCATCTCACGGGATTAGGCTCTCTGTGTATGTGTACACCAGCTCTAAAGATCATTCGGAAGGCATGTTGACCTTCTGATACCTATACAGCAGTAGAGACTGTAACTTCAGAATACATGTCATCTCCAAGAGGAAGGCCTGAATCCAGAGATGACATCTCCACTGCTAGTCATACCTGGTGGTTAGTCCTATCCACAGTATTGGCAGTGGAGGCATGTTCACGAGTATTTTGTCGGATTCTGGTGGAGTTTTGTTGCTCAATTGTTGAGGAAGTGGGAATGCAGAACTCTCTGAAACATCTTTTGAAGTTCTCATCTAGAAATGCATAAAGGACTGGATTAAGGCAGCTATTTGTATACCCTAAAGCAATACAAAAGTGCCAGGAGACAGTTTGAAAAGTAGTTTCTGGAATATTGATCAAGGCTTTAATGATGACATAAATATGGATGGGAGTCCAGCAGACTATGAACACCGCCACCACTACAAGGACCATTCTTGTGATTCTCCTCAGGTTCCTGTCCTTTTCTTTGGAGCCAGATAGCATACGGACACTCTTCAGGCGTAAAATCATCAGGCCGTAGCACACTGTAATGATCAGGACTGGCATGATGAAGGCAAAGATGAAAACACAGATTTTCAGCAGGTTCTCCCAGTACCAAGATGGATGAGAGAACGTAAGCGTGCAGTCAATGGAGCCTAAAGTAAAAACAAAATGACAGAGAAGAGTGAGCAGTTCAGTTTTTCAATTGCTTTTCCTTTTGTCTTTATTTTCTTCAACACTGTACAGCAATTTGATGCAATTCTATAAAATGAGTAACTAAAAGGAAGCAGAATGTATTTTATCACAAGCACACACATAAGAGGCATGTAATGCTATTTCAAGAATTTTGTTTAACCTTAAGATTTACAAACCAAAATAAAACAAGCCCTGTACTAGTTTGCATTTTATTACTTGGAACTCAGCTCATGTTTGACAAAAGGTAATAAATTGAAGTTGGATCAATTTTTAGTTTCAGCATAAAACCCAGGAAATGAGGAAGTTTAACCACTATTTTGAAAGTTTGGGAGTTAAAGGGAAATGAAAAAGAGAGATGATATGATAAGTTAGGGAATCTGTCTCTGTGCAACTTCTAAATTTGTGTTTGTGATAGGAGGCCACAGTGGATGTAGACTCTTACTACGTGCAGTGAGAGCATAATTTTCCAGACTAAGGGCAAAACCTTAAAGGTTGTCTCTTTAGGTGGAAGCATCCTATGACAAAAGAGGGAATGAGAGAGTCTCATTTTCATAGCAGAAAGTGTCTTCTTCAGTGGTGTGATTAGCTAAAGTCTCCATCATTTGAAGGAAAATACATGAGCAGTAAAGAAGATTCTTTAGAAGATTCTGACCTTAGCTCAGGGATGGAGGTAGGGAAATGCATATAGAATTTATTCATTTGTACCTGTGTATTTCTTGTGCTATTTAAGAAATGTAGGATTTGTTTTAGAGTCCTATGCAATGTTTTTTTGTGTTACTTGCTATGCTTAGGCTGAAGAGCTAAACTGCAAACCTGGGTGGAATTTTGAGAAAGGACTCTGCTCAATGTAATGGAGAATCTGGATGAATAATGCCATTCTCTGGGGTTGATTTTCATTAGGGATTAATGGTCTATACCCGGTAAATGTTCAAGAAAGACCTTGGAAAGGAATAGTGCTGTAGTCAACTTTGACCAAGATAACCTTAGAGCATAAGTGACCAGTCAACTGGGACCCAATGATGAATGAGGAAATTTCTACTAATGAGAGTCCAACCGGCCTGTTTGTCAACAAATGATTTTCCAGGTATACAAAGACCTGCAGATAAAGATGAGAAAAGGAGACAAGGAATACTAGGGGGTGAGTAGTAGGAAGAGTGCCTTCATAGTCAGGCAAAGTTTAAATTTTATGTGAAAAGATGTCAAAGGTTAGTTGCCCTGTCCTGCAAGGTGATGACTTGCATGCTTTCCCATGTGCTTACTTTTAAGTACACTGGAATCAATTTGACCATCCATATGTTCAAGTGCATCTCTATTCAGGACAGCACTTGTTTGTTCCTGTGTGGTCTCCTGAAATAGGACTTGCAGGACTGAACCCTTGAAGAGAGGTGCATGACATATTAGAAAATGGCAAAAGGAGATTAATTTAGCTGCTGATCATTTCTTTGAAGTGGAGACAAGATAAGTGTTAGGGAAGCTGCAGATAAGAGAGTTACAGTGATCTGATTGAAAAAGGGATAATTAATAATACACGTCTGAAATCCCATTGATTGAAATGATTTGAAGGGATGCTGTCAATTAGATTACCTCTGAGACATGTATTTCTTTGAATGTTGGGAATGAAGGGGGAATGGTATGAGCATGTGCTCTAAAGCAGTGGAAGTCATTTAATTTAATTTTTAGAAATATTTTCTTTAAGCCTTAGTGAATTTAAAACACACGGCATATAATGGACAGGTTAGTCTCCAAATTAAAGTATTCTGCTTATCAATATAAGTTCAATAGTGGTAATATAAAATTTTCCATATTGTTCTCTATCAGTAGTCATAGTTTTTTGTTTGTTGTTTTCTCTGTCTTTACCTGCATGGTTACCATGTGTGTTTAAATTATTGCATGTTTAAATTATCTTAACTATGTCAACTCAAATTGATAATGCATGTATTCTCTAGGAGCATATATTCACCTTTTAGACTTGTGTTGTAAACAGTTCTTGAGATTTTATATATATATATATATATATATATATATATTTGTTTGTTTAATCTTTATTTTCAGGTCACAAAGAGATATAAATGAAGATAATGAAGCCAGAGAAGATAATTCTACATCAGCACAAGCATCAGACCTCTGGATTTTGGCTCCTTTAGCCTTGGAGCTACTTCTAAGATCACAAAGATTATGATGCAGATAGGTATTCTCCATAGCTCTTGTGCAGTGTTGGATAATGTTTCCTGATAGTGTACTCATAAGAAAGAAATTGTGAAGTTGGCATAGATGTGATATGTAATGCTTATACAGTGACTGTAAATCAGTGGATGCATGTTCAATGATTGGGGAAATAAACTCTGTCATAAAAATAGAATATTTTCACAAAGAAATAGTAGGCAAAACTGGGTTGTATTGTAGGTGCTTATGTGTTAACAGAGAGAATATAAATAAAACTTATCAAAACATAATAATTTGACAGTTCTTTGAATATAATACATTTGTATTCACCTATACAGAACAAAACTGTTTAGAAATCAGTCACATATCTTAAGTAAAAAATACAAAGCAACACACATTTCTATCACCTGCAAAGTGTGTGTGTGTGTAGTGTACAGGAAGTTGGGCACATAGCAAGCATTGAATAATTTAATCTAACATTGTGTAATCAAATTGTGTGAAGTACTAATAAACTGGCTTGCTTTTGCCAGTCTTATTTTCCATTCTCTTTATCTTTTACCTCTGTTTTTTACTTCCCTTGTAAAGTTGCGTTTTTGCTTAGAACAGGTGTGTCATGGGCCATATGAGTGCCATGGAGCTGGTTCATGGTCTGGATCATGCCCATGATTTCGTTTC